TATTTATTTCTAACAAGTTTTTATATGCCAAAGTGTCTTCTACTAATATTTCGTTATTCAGCATATTTTATATTCCTTTACATAAACGCTTTTTTTAAGAAGTGTATGATTTTTTTTCTTAAGCATCATTATTACAATTAAAGCTTTGGCACAAAATTTAAACTTCTTTTTCACCATCATTATTTACCTGTGTGCTTTGTTTACTCTAATAGTAAAACAAACTTTATTGTTAGGTTATTAATGCAAAATTGGTAGAGCGTATGTCTACATGCTAATTAAAATGGAGATATTTGCAAACACAAACTCACATTTTTCATATTAATCATTATCATCCAGCCTCAAGAGTCCACTGCTGAACATAGACCTCTTCCTCATGTCTCCAACCCCGTCTATCTTGCGCCGCTCTTATCCAGTTTTTATTGAGTCTTCTTAAATCGTCAGTCCATCGTGTAGGTGGTCGACCGACGCTTCTCTTGTCTTCCCTTGGCCTCCATTCCAATACCTATTTATCCATCGCACATCTGTCATTCTGGCTATAAGTCCTGCCCATCTCCATTTTAGTCTGGCTATCTTCTCGATGATGTCAGTCACTCCGGTTCTTCTCCTGATGTCTTTGTTGGTTATTCTCTCTCGCAGAGTTATTCCTAACATGGACCGCTCCATTCTTCTCTGCGTGACTCTTAGTTTGGTAGCTGCTGCTTTTGTTAAGGTAAGTGTTTCTTCTCCGTACGTCAAGACTGGGAGGACGTACTGATCAAATACCTTTCTCTTTAGGCATGTGGGCAGCTCACTTTTAAAAGTTTCTCTCAGTTTTCCAAATGCTGCCCACCCAAGGCCGATTCTTCTCTTCAGTTCATGAGTCTGGTTATCCCTGCCAATCATAATTTCATGTCCCAGGTATTCATATCTATCTACGAGTTCTATTTCTTTCCCACCAATACTGATGTTGTGGTTGGGTACCAAATTGGTCATGATTTCATATTAAATCGACTTGTAACTAATATTTTTAGTACTGAAATCAGTCTTGAAATTATCGTAATGGCAAGTGGACCTTACGGTGATGACGAATTTGGTCGACAGAAGCGCTTTACACGTGACATATCTCCTCCCGTCAGCTGTGCAGAAGGAATAGATTAGTATTTACAAATCGAAAGGATTATGGATACTCGAATTTTCATTTATGTATTTTCTAAAATTGGCGTGATTGTTACCTATTATTAATTTGATTTTTTGTTTATTTGTTAAAAATAGCTTCGGCGGTGAATAAGAAAGACCTGAAAAACTTTATGCTTTATTAAAAAATACTCTTAAGTGATTATAAAAATATTTACATTTCAAATACATTATGAAAGCACTTCGCATGCTTTACTGCATCATCGCAAGTTAATATTTTTCCAGCTGATTCCATACATTCTGTAAACTGATTTTTGATCTCTGGATTATCTAAACCAGTGGTTCCCAACGGGGGCGGTACCGCCCACCGGTGGGCGTTGAAGAGAGATAAGTGGGCTTTTTGGGTCCAAGGAAAATTTGGGGGGCGTTGAGGAACAGCTGCCGCCCCCTAAAGTAACTCATTGCTTCTTTGCTTCTAACAACTTCTAACAATCCGAAAATATAAACGAAATGCACAAAATGCATTTTGGTTATGCACCGTGCAATTTTTTATTTATCACTCAGTCCAACACTGCAACAATTTCGACGTTGCAGTCGAACGTAGAACGTTTCAGTTTGGTTAGTATAATTTCCACTTCCAGTAGAATCTTTCTGCTTTAAGTGAATTTTGGCACCTCCTTCGCGCAGCGGCATGGTCAGGCATAACTTAATCATTCGAGATTGTTTCGCTAAAGCAGGGTGGTGAATTTTCTGTGTGTTATTTGTAGAAAGTTGCAGTGCATTTATTAGAAATATATTTTATTGTAATACATATTTGTCACAAAGGTAAGTATCTACGTGGTATTTATATCACTTACTATAATTCTTTATTATTTTTCCCTATCGTAATTTACGAGGTATTTGTAAAAATGTAATAAACCTAAATTTGTTTCCTTATACGTATAGTTATTGTAAAATATTCAAAAAGTACCAACTTGCACAAACTGGATCAAAGTAAAAAGTTAATTAGGACCTACCTACACTGAGAGAAGAATTGGGGAAAAAGTACAAAAAATCTTAATAAAATTTACTATACTGAATAGTAATCTGATCATAGACTGCCAAAAATAAACCATTTACTGAATATAAAGTTATTTTTATAATATGTGTACAGTATGGTAATTTTTAATAAGTTGTTTTGTAATTTTTCCTCAAATTCTTCTCTCAGTGTATATTTATTTACTTGTGGCATGTTTTAAATTTCTCGACTACTTGCTTAGATATTCCGCCACTCTGAAATATTGATTTTGCGAACTAAAAAAATATTTAAAAGTTTATTATTTAAAATTATCAAAGCGGTGGCTACAGCATATTTATTTTTACAGATATACCTACAGTATGTCCGATCCAAAGAAAAAGTGCAGACAATACAATGTCGAATATTTGAAGTATGGTTTTATTCAGTCGCCTTCTAATAAGGCATTACCAATGTGTTTAATTTGCCAGAGAGTTTTCTCAAATGAAGCCATGAAACCTTCACGATTACAAGAACATTTGACCAAAATACATCCCGACAGAAAAGAGAGAAATTTATCATATTTTGAAATGCTCAAAAAACAACATTTCAAACGTCCAACTTTAGCTAGTATCTTTTCAGCAGCATCAAAGCAAGACGATGATGGGCTACGTGCTTCTTATAACATTTCCTTACTTATAGCTAAATCAGGAAAACCCCATACTATTGGCGAAGAATTAATACTGCCAGCTGTAAGTGAAGTTTTGCGGACGGTACTACACCAGCCGGCATCTGATATTATTAAAAAAATTCCATTAAGCAATAATACGGTACAGAGACGAATTGACGAAATGTCTGAGGATGTGGAGCGTTCTCTAACTGATTATTTAAAGACTACTGAGTTTTCTTTACAGCTTGATGAATCAACTCTGCCAAACAATGAGTCTTTACTTCTTGCGTACGTTCGCTTCATAAAAAGTGAAAAAATCTGTCAAGAACTGTTATTTGTAAAAACACTGGAAACAGATACTAAAGGCAAATCGATATTTGATGTTCTGGAACACTATTTTACAGATAAAGGTATACCTCTGGAAAATGTCATAACTGTTGCTACAGATGGTGCTCCGGCAATGGTTGGACGATACCGCGGACTGATAGCATATTTGAAAAAAGCGGTACCAAATATACTCGCCGTGCATTGTGTAATTCACAGACAGCATTTAGTTGCAAAAAATCTTAGTGATCGCCTTCATTGTTCACTACAATATGTAATTACTGCAGTTAACAAGATCAGAAGCAGTGCTCTCAATGATAGATTGTTTAGAAAACTGTGTGATGAAAACGACGAGAATTTTAATCGTTTATTGTTGCACACAGAAGTTCGATGGCTTTCGAAGGGTACCTGTCTAAAAAGATTTTATGATCTCTTTGACTCAGTTTTAGAGTTTTTTGAAAGCAAAGATGATTCTTTGAGAGACAATTTATTAAAATTTAAGAGCGATATTGCTTATTTAACTGATTTATACGATAAATTTAATGAAACAAACCTACAGCTACAAGGTGATAATTTGAATTTGATCAAAGCAAAAGGAACTATTTCCTCGTTCGTGTCAAAACTTAATTTCTATAGGCAAAATTTGGGTCGGAGACAATTTCATCAGTTTCAAAATCTTTCCTCTGTGGAGACAAATGATGAAGACATTTTGGTATATTGCCAGCACTTGGAAGCACTTCAAGAAGATTTTAGGAATAGATTTCAGGATATCCTTGGTCTGATTATTCCAGATTGGGTGCTAGAACCGTTCTCAAGTTTAGAAACAGCAGAATTATCACTACAGGAGGAATTGATAGAATTGTCAACAAATGAAGAGTTAAAAGTGAAATTTAAAAATGGATACCAAGAATTTTGGCTGCAATGTCAAATTTCAGTATTATATCCAGCTTTATGGGCTGCATCAAAGAAGTTTTTCATTGCCTTTCCTTCATCGTATTTAGCCGAAAGAGGATTTAGCATAGTCAGCAATTTATTAACAAAGAAGAGAAATAGACTGTCCATAGTGGAGCGCGGTGATTTAAGATTGCTGATGACAAGTATGGAACCAAATATTGACAGATTACTATCATTTCATCAAGCTCAGCCTTCTCATTAAAAATGTTATATTATTATTATATTGTTTTTTATGATATGTATTTAAGTTAAAGTTTGATCAATACATGAATACTGTATTTTTGAATAAAACATTTTTTTTTTAAATTTGTTGTTGCTTGGATTAGTTTAGGAGCCGTCGAATCATATTTAAGGTAGCCTTTGACCCAAAAAAGGTAAAAAAATTGTGAATGAAAGTGCGATACTAATTTTAAGAATGGAAGAGTTTTTTAAGGGGGGCGTTAAGTATTTTGTTTTTGGAAAAATGGGCGGTAGGCCGAAAAAGGTTGGGAACCACTGATCTAAACCATGTTTTTCCAAGGTGGTCCATACTAAGTTGACGTCCATGTTTCCATCTTTATCTAGAGCCCCTGCCTTAACATACGAGCATTTTAGTACGCATAGAGCTTCGTGACTGTTGTCTTTTAGTTGTTCTTTTAATTGTTTAAAAGTCATTCCTGCTTCTTCAAGACAAGGAACTATAGACATAGAGGGTTCCAAATTCAATTTATTTGATTCGGCTATATATCCAGTCAATATCTAAAACACAAGAAGAAATCTTCTATATAATAATTGAGGTCATCAGAAAGGAAAAAGAATGTCTATATTCATTCTAGACCCGCTGGTTTTTTCCACTCCTGTGCAATTACTGTGCCCAGTAATTCCAACCCGCAATAGGTAGGCACAGTCTCCGTGATCAATCAAATGGCAATTGCAATAGGTTAATAAACCTAGCAAGATCACAACATGATAATTGCCAGCACATACTTCGCTCGCAAAGATATGCACAAAGGTACCATGAAATCCCCAGATGGGCTTACAGTAAATATGATAGATCATGTCATTGTAGACTCGAGACACCAATCGAATATAATAAACGTCCGCACTAGAAGAGGGCAAATGCGAATTCTGATCACTACCTGGTCGAAAGTAGGGTAAGGGCTAGAATTTTAAACATCAAAAAGGAAAGAGGCTCGAAACATAAACGATACAAGGTAAAAGGACTCAAAGAAACAAACAAAAATGAAGAGTATAAGAAAAGATGAACAACAAACTATAAAACAGACTAACACCTAAACCTAAAATAACCTAAATTTAGGTGAAAACCTAAATAAGCAGTGGAAAGAATGCAGAGACATCATAAAAGAGGCAGCTAAAGAAGTATTAGGCATAGAAGAACAAGAACGAATGACTGGTTTGACGAATATTGTCAGATTATAACAGACACAAAAACAGAGCATATTTACAGATGCAACAGGGGCACAGAACCCGACAAGCAGAGGAAGAATATGAACAACTACGCAAAAAAGAAAACAAAACTTACCGAAGAAAAAAAGAGAGAATATATGAACAAAGAACTTCAAGAACTACAAGAACTAAGTAAATCAACAGAGATAAGACAATTTTATCAAAAACCTCACACCGAAAAAATAGCTGGCAAATACCAAAGTGGCTTGTGTATACAGAAGTCAACAATAGACCAGATATTTGTTCTGCGACAGATCCTCGAAAAAACAAGTGAATATAACATCGACACACATCATCTCTTCATAGACTTTTAAAACGCATATGACAATATAAACCGAGAATTCTTAATAAAAAAGCAATGAAAGAATTTAATATACCAACACAACTAATAGAACTAATAAAATATTCTCTAAAAGTAGAAAGTAAAATTCGGATACAAAATGAATTAACGGAAACAATAGATGTGAAAAAGGGACTACGCCAGGGAGACGCTCTATCATGCATCTTATTCAACATCGTACTCGAGAAAATACTGAGGGACACAACAGTCAATACTCGAGGAACAATCATTAATAAAAGCGTGCAAATACTAGCATTTTCAGATGATGTTGATATAATCGCAAGATCAAGAAGAGAAATGATAGAGGCATACAACCAAATAGAACGAGATGCACAAAATAGTGGTCTTAAAATCAATCAGACCAAAACAAAATATATGCAGGTAAGTAAAAACCTGCAAAAAAGTAAGTAAGAAATGAGACAGTCACAAAATATAGCAATAGGAGAATACAACATTAAGGGGGTAAAAAATTTTATATACTTGGGATCCCTAGTCACGTCTGGTAATAACGTTGCGGAGGAAGTGAAGAGGCGAATATTTATTGCCAATAAGTGTTATCATGGCTTAATTAGGCAACTAAGATCAGATAACGTCGCAAGAAAAACAACATTTAAAATATACAAAACCTTAATAAGACTGGTACTCACAAACGGCTTAGAAACCTGGACACTCACTAAAAGAGAGGAAACGTTGTTAGCCACCTTCGAAAGAAAAATCTTGCGACACTAATATGGACACAAAAGAAAACGGAATATGGCGAAGAAGATACAACTTTGAACTATACAAAATATACCAGGATCTGGATATTATAACATTCATTAAAATAGGACGGCTACGAATGGAAGAAGGCGAAAGACCAAACAAAATATTTAAACAGATGCCAATAGAAAAACAAACAAGGGGAAGACTGAAGCTGAGATACTTAGAACAAATAGAAAATGATATAACAACCTTAAAAATAAAAAAACAAGTGTGTCCACTGGGACTGCCGGTAGAAGTTATACACGTGTTTGCTGTTACAAATTTATATGGGAGTCAATCTGTACAATCATTACATATTTAATGCTATAGGTAAGAGAGAGCAAAAAGAGAAAAAGAATTAGTCATATAAGTATATGGTGCATCGTTTGCTGTATATAAACATTTGAACTGTAATAGGAGTATAGTAAATGAAGCATTGTATCAATATTTTAATGAAAATATATATTTTTATTTTCATATATGTATAAAAGGAGTTGAATGCAAAAAAAATTTTTACAAATACTCTGCAGTAAAATTTATTGTTTATTTTGTTATTAGTATGATAATTACAATACAATAGATACACTGTAATACAATATAAATTAAAATGCAATATTTAATAAGATTAACGTGAGGTTTTAAATATTTCAAAAATAAAAAATAGGAAATTCATATTTGGATTCGAACTCACAAACACCAGCGTATAAACCAAACACGTAAAGGATTTGCCAATTGGACATGACACTGATGGATTTCAAATTGACAGTTCTCGGCCAAACAGTGATTATTTTGAAATACAAAAGCCTAAAATAATTATAAACGTTTAATAAATAATACAAAATATATCACATAAATAATAATATTAATACATATTATATACAAAAGGAACATTTTTATTCTCGAGAGAGGAAGAGAGAGAAAATATATCTTCTGTCTCTCTCTCTTACTTATTATCTTACATATGTAATGGATTCACAGATTCACTCCCATGCAAATTTCCAACGCCGACCGTACGTATAGAAGTATAACTTCAAAAACTGGACAAAAAAAAGAACGAAACAGAATAGAGAAGAATCCTGGAACAGACCAAGACCCAAAAAATGTTGTCGAACCAGTGATGATGATGATGATGATGAAAATATAAGGGAAAAAATTTATAGACAAAAAATCAAATTCTGACTTTTTCATCTATTCGTCATCTAGTAACCTCCACCTATGTCTTTAAAGCTTCAGATATCTGCTAAAAATTTTTCGACCTTTTTCTTAACCAACAATAAATACTTACATATCCCACAAGTAGAAAAACACTAAATATTATATATTTACTTCCCATTTTCGCTTAGTACCTTTTTAAAATAACATGCATTGTCCAGGAAATTAAGTTTATATAGATTTATATGATTTGCAGTTGCTAATGATATTTTAATGAACACTATTAAGTGCAGTTTGGTGTGCACTTCCAATTGATTTATTCCAAAACATTAATAATTGTATATATTTGAATTTGTATAATTTCTGTATAATTTTAAAGAGAAATGATAAAAATAATTCTATGTAATATGGGAATATTATTGTATTGATTAAGTACTTCTTTTATTCCGATGCTTTATTAAAAAACTATGAAACTTTATTTATAAAGCTTGATACTTAGTATTGGTCAATTTATTACTGATTTTTCTTCATTTAGTAAGAATATGTCTGCTACCTTAATTTTTCTCTTTTTGCTCTCCGTTTCTTTCAAAACTATTAATCAAATTTTTCATTAAATTCTACATATACAGTATGATGCAAATGTATGGAATAAATTCATTATTTCAGAAACAGACAACTTTAAAAAAATATCTTAAAACACGTCTTTAAATTTTTAAATGACCATCAACTGATATAATACGTGTTGCACATTACGTCATCAGTATCGGCGTAATAACGTAATCTACGATTTTTTTAAATTCAAACCGAGGTCACGCGACAGCCCATTTGAAATCCTCCTTATCGTCTTTGCAACGATGTAATCACTTGAATATTTATTTCTACAGGGTTTACCAAAATTATGTACTTTATTAGGTAACATGGAATTACAATACATATTCATTCAATGAACTAAAATACACTAAGGAACGCTACTGGGAATAAAACAAAACAGAGTTTGCACTATTTTGTTTGTAGTGTTAGTAATAGTTGCAGAGTTCCGAAAAAAAAAAATACATTGATAATAAACAATGCTACATTTTAACCTTCTTCTTCTTTATGTGCATTGTCCGTTCCGAACGTTGGCAATGAACATGGCTATTCTGACTTTGTTTACGGCAGATCTGATTAGTTCAGCAGATGACAATCCGAACCATTGCCGCAAGTTTTGGAGCCACGAGTGTTTTCTCCTCCCTGGACCCCTTCTGCTGTTTATTTTCCCTTGAACGATCAGCTGTAGTACTCTATATTTATTATGTCTCATAACGTGACCCAAGTATTCCAACTTTCTTTTCTTTATACTTATTCCTACATCTCTCTCTTTACCTATCCGGCGTAGTACCTCTTCGTTGGTCACGTGCTCAGTCCAGGATATACGTAATATACGTCGGTAAGGCCACATTTCGAAGGCCTCTACTTTTTTCATCAATGTTGCGGTCATTGTCCACGCCTCCATTTCATATAACAAAACCGGGAATACATAACATTTCAGAAGTCGAATTTTGAGAGGTAGGGTGAGGCTTTTAGAGTTGAAAATTTGCTTCATGCTAGTGAACGATGCTCTTGCCTTTTCTACTCTTATACGTATTTCCTTCGCTTGATCCCAATTTGAGTTAACTGTTGTTCCCAAGTAGATGTACGAATCCACGTGTTCAATTCTTTCATTGTCTAATATCAGTTGCTGTGGTGGTTGTTGGGTTTTGCTTACTAACATCCATTTGCTTTTTGTGATATTTAGTCTGAGTCCGTATTGTGCACTTGTTTTTTGTATCTTACTCATTAGGCAACTCAGTTCCTCTATGCTACTTGCTAGAATCACAGTGTCACCAGCATACCTTATGTTATTAATTATTTCTCCATTTATCTTTATGCCTTCTGTGCTTTCATCCAGCGCTGTCTTAAATACTTCTTCTGAGTATATATTAAAGAGAATTGGAGACAAAATACAGCCCTGTCGTACCCCTTTCTTGGTCTCAATTTTATTGGTCAATGAAGATCCTACTTTCACTTTTGCTGTTGTCACCCCAATAGAGACTCGCTATTGTTCGAATGTCTCTGTTGTCGACTGCAATCTTATGGAGAACTTCAATTATCTTTTCGTGCTTTACGTTACCGAATGCTTTTGCGTAGTCTATAAAGCATATGTACACGTCTTTGTTCATATCTCCGCAGCGCTGGATGAGTACCTGTAGACTAAAAAGTGCTTCTCTTGTCCCAAGAGAATTCCGAAACCCAAACTGCGAATCTCCAATGTTATCCTCGCATTTTTTGCTTATTCTGTTGTAAATAACCTTGATGTATGCCTTCGAAATGTGGTTAATTAGACTTATCATCCGATGTTGATCACAAGACTTTGCTTTTGGTTTTTTCGGTATGGCAACAAAAATTGACTCTAGCCAGTCTTCAGGAAACTCCCCGCTGTTATAAATATTGTTAAAGAGTCTGACGAGTGAGTCTAGAAATTGACTGTTTGTTTCGCACAGCATTTTCAATACTTCCCCGTATACGTTATAGTTGCCTGGTCTTTTGTTATTTTTAAGACCCTTTATAGCATTCTCCACTTCTCAGTATCATCATTGCTCAGTGTACACCCACTAGGACGGTCATCATTAAAGAGTTGTTCCACATAAGTTTCCCAGATTCTAATATATTGTCGGGGTCTAGTTCTAGATTTCCATTATCATCGCACAGCCCTTTCAATTAAATATTGTAGCTTTTCTTTGTTGTGAGTTCCTTTATCTTCTTATGCATATTGTGATAGTCGTATTCCTTTTCGCAGTGTTCGATTTCTTCGCATCTCTCCGAGAACCATTTCTCTTTAGTTTTTCTTATCTCAGCTCTTATTCGTCTATGGGTTTCACGGTATTTGGCAGTATCTTTAGTTTTATATATCCGTCTCTCTTCCATCATGTCAAGGATTTCTGCAGTTATCCAGTCTTTCTTTTTTCTTTTATCAGGTAGTAAAAACTTAGTGCTTGAAGTCTTAATCTCTTCTTTAATTTCACTCCACTTTTCCAGCGGTTCATTATTATTTTTAAGGATTTTTGATCATATAATTAATTACTATATATATAACATTTTAACCTATAATTAATTATTGTAGTAAGGTATTTTTTAAAAAGTAAGTAAAATTGAAAAAACAATTAGAGAAACAGGCCATTCTAAGAAGTCGTAGAAAATCAATATCCGAAACCAAGAAACTAGACTTTGTACTGGCGTTTCAAGAAAATCCCCATACCAGTTCTATGCAGGTCGCATTAGATAATAATGTCCACCAGTCAACTGTTGTAACAGTGCTAAAGAAGCAGAAGGGGCATCCATACAAAGTATATCTGGTCCAGGAAAAATGTAACAGAGATCAGAGTTTCATACAAAATGTACTTTTTTCTGATAAACCGTCTTTTATGCTGAACGGTCACGTAAACCGAAATATCGATACTGGGCAAGTGAAAATCCACACTGGATGGAAGAGTTTAGGACACAATATCCGGAGAAGGTGAATGTTTGGGCCGGCATTACAAACAATCAAATTTTTGGGTCATATTTTTTTGAGGAAAACTTAATTACTTCTCGTTATCTAGAATTTGTTCAGGATTATCTGTTGCCACATACAGCTATATACAAATAGAAACGATTTATGGTACCAACATGATGGTAGAGCACACACTAATCGTAGAGGTGCGAAATTATCTTAATAACGTTTTCCCAGGTAGGGGGATAAGTAGAAGGGGGCCACCAAGGTCTCCAGATTTAACTCCGTTAGACTTTTTTATGGGGATATTTAAAGAACAGAGTGTATCAAAATCGACCAAATAATGTAAAAGAGTTGAAGGAGCGCATCCATCAATTTCACAAATAACACCTGGAGTCATCGAAAACGTTAGGAAATAATTTATTGCCCATCTTTCACCTTGTATTATTGCTGAAGGTCGTCAATTTGAACATTTGTTGTAATTTAATTGTATTAGTGAACATTTACTGTAAGTTAATTGTATTAATAAACCAACACTTTT